GATGTAGTCTCTGTGAGAGCTATATTTTTCACTGTCCCTACATTACCGCCCCCAGTGTTCCAGCCGTCCCTGCTGTCTACCCGTCCAACACCCCGTCTATCCCATCTTCTCTCTGTTCGTCAACTACGTTCTTCTCGATGTTCCCGTCCTCTCCTCCGGTGCGTTGAATACACGTGACAATTTAGCAGCGCCTCTTGCATTGGGTGTTGTATATGGTGTCAAAACGAAGCTGATCGGTGATTGCTTGACACGTTGGCCCGTGGCTCTATATGTACTGCCTTACATACACACTTGATGTATATGTGATGTGTGGGTTTGGGTTTGGTCTGTGTATGCATGCTGTGTATGGATCTGTTTCTATGTGTGTATACATGATGCATGGGTGCGTTTTGGTCTGTGTATGCATGCTGTGTGTGGATCTGTTTCTATGTGTGTATACATGATGCATGGGTGCGTTTTGGTCTGTGTATGCATGCTGTGTATGGATCTGTTTCTTTATGTGTGTATACATGATGCATGGGTGCGTTTTGGTCTGTGTATGCATGCTGTGTGTGGATCTGTTTCTATGTGTGTATACATGATGCATGGGTGCGTTTTGGTCTGTGTATGCATGCTGTGTGTGGATCTGTTTCTATGTGTGTATACATGATGCATGGGTGCGTTTTGGTCTGTGTATACATGCTGTGTGTGTGTATACATGATGCATGGGTGCGTTTTGGTCTGTGTATGCATGCTGTGTGTGGATCTGTTTCTATGTGTGTATACATGATGCATGGGTGCGTTTTGGTCTGTGTATACATGCTGTGTGTGTGTGCATGCATGCGCATGTATGCCCATATTCTCACCGCTCCTCCACCACTAACCGTCCGTGCTTGTCTCTGGCCAACAGGTAAGCGGAAGCAAGAGCAGTGGGCCATGACCATGTTTTACAGCGAGGGCGGGAAGCGACTACCCTCCCGCTTGGCAGCAGGACATGCGCTAGCAGGCAGGGCATCGGACGGAGCGGCAGCAGGAGGGCCACGAGGCCTTGGAGGATCTCCAGGAGGTGGTTCAGGGGGAGGAGGAGGTGTTGGAGGGGTGCTGGAGCGCTCTTCGTCCCCTCCACTCTCCTATCCGGCCACTAACATGTCCCCTGAAGCCGCCACAATGGAGACTACCCTTAATACGAACGCCATCCCGGCTAAACTAGCCACCTAGGCTATCCACTGGCCCCTAGGATGGTCCTGAATACCTTAGGATGGTTTTTAAATACCTTAGGATGGTTTTTAAATACCTTAGGATGGTTTTAAATAGTTTAAGATGGTCCTAAATAGTTTGGGATGGTTCTAAATACCTTTAGGATGGTCCTAAATAGTTTGGGATGGTTCTAAATACCTTTAGGATGGTCCTAAATAGTTAGGGATGGTTCTAAATACCTTTAGGATGGTCCTAAATACCTTAGGATGGTTCTAAATACCTTTAGGATGGTCCTAAATAGTTTGGGATAGTTCTAAATACCTTTAGGATGGTCCTAAATACCTTAGGATAGTTCTAAATACCTTTAGAATGGTCCTAAATAGTTTGGGATGGTTCTAAATACCTTTAGGATGGTCCTAAATAGTTTAGGATAGTCTTTAATAGCTTAAAACGGTCAATGTTTATTTTACTACTACCCACTCATATCATAATTAATATTACCCGTATGATAATATTATTAGTGTCATAGATTATTATTTTTATTATTATTTTAATGATCAATAATGATCCAATGTCATTATCAGTCATCACTCTAATGTCTTGTGCTTCTGGGGGATATCTCTGTGTCTTGTCTCATGCTGTTATTGATCTGTGTCCACCAGTATCTTGTCTATGTAATCTGTGTCCCAGGATGTGTCTCTTGGTCTAGGCCCCCCAGGGGACAGGGCCGGGGGGGGGGAATGCACCCTGTGTGTTGGCCTTTCCTGGGTGACCTGTAGTGACCTAGGGCAGTTTTGGCATCGTTGGGTCAGCATCTGGGGGTCACGGTACTGTGGGGTATCTGTGGGGGGGGGGTCACGGTACTGTGGGGTATCTGTGGGGGGGGGGTCACGGTACTGTGGGGTATCTGTGGGGGGTCACGGTACTGTGGGGTATCTGTGGGGGGTCACGGTACTGTGGGGTATCTGTGGGGGGGTCACGGTACTGTGGGGTATCTGTGGGGGGGTCACGGTACTGTGGGGTATCTGTGGGGGGGTCACGGTACTGTGGGGTATCTGTGGGGGGGGTCACGGTACTGTGGGGTATCTGTGGGGGGGTCACGGTACTGTGGGGTATTGTGGGGGGGTCACGGTACTGTGGGGTATCTGGGGGGGTCACGGTACTGTGGGGTATCTGGGGGTCACGGTACTGTGGGGTATCTGTGGGGGGGTCACGGTACTGTGGGGTATTTGGGGGTCACGGTACTGTGGGGTATCTGGGGGTCACGGTACTGTGGGTATCTGGGGGTCACGGTACTGTGGGGTCTCTGGGGGTCACGGTACTGTGGGGTATTTGGGGGTCACGGTACTGTGGGGTATCTGGGGGTCACGGTACTGTGGGGTATCTGGGGGTCACGGTACTGTGGGGTATCTGGGGGGGGGCTCACGGTACTGTGGGGTCTGGGGGGGTCACGGTACTGTGGGGTATTTGGGGGTCACGGTACTGTGGGGTATCTGGGGGGGCTCACGGTACTGTGGGGTATCTGGGGGTCACGGTACTGTGGGGTATCTGGGGGGGGGGCTCACGGTACTGTGGGTATCTGGGGGGGTCACGGTACTGTGGGGTATCTGGGGGGTCACGGTACTGTGGGGTATCTGGGGGGGCTCACGGTACTGTGGGGTATCTGGGGGTCACGGTACTGTGGGGTATCTGGGGGGTCACGGTACTGTGGGGTATCTGGGGGTCACGGTACTGTGGGGTATCTTGGGGGTCACGGTACTGTGGGGTATCTGTGGGGGGTCACGGTACTGTGGGGTATCTGGGGGGTCACGGTACTGTGGGGTATCTGGGGGGTCACGGTACTGTGGGGTATCTGGGGGGTCACGGTACTGTGGGGTATCTTGGGGGTCACGGTACTGTGGGGTATCTTGGGGGTCACGGTACTGTGAAGATATGAGAGTCACGGTACAGTGAACATCTGAGAGCCACGGTACATTAAACATCTGAGAGGCACGGTACAGTGAACATCTGAGAGCCACGGTACATTAAACATCTGAGAGCCACGGTACATTAAACATCTGAGAGCCACGGTACATTAAACATCTGAGAGCCACGGTACATTAAACATCTGAGAGCCACGGTACAGTGAACATCTGAGAGTCACGGTACATTAAACATCTGAGAGCCACGGTACATTAAACATCTGAGAGCCACGGTACATTAAACATCTGAGAGCCACGGTACATTAAACATCTGAGAGCCACGGTACATTAAACATCTGAGAGCCACGGTACATTAAACATCTGAGAGCCACGGTACAGTGAACATCTGAGAGCCACGGTACATTAAACATCTGAGAGCCACGGTACATTAAACATCTGAGAGCCACGGTACAGTGAACATCTGAGAGTCACGGTACATTAAACATCTGAGAGTCACGGTACATTAAACATCTGAGAGTCACGGTACATTAAACATCTGAGAGCCACGGTACATTAAACATCTGAGAGCCACGGTACAGTGAACATCTGAGAGCCACGGTACATTAAACATCTGAGAGTCACGGTACATTAAACATCTGAGAGTCACGGTACATTAAACATCTGAGAGCCACGGTACAGTGAAGATCTGAGAGCCACGGTACATTAAACATCTGAGAGCCACGGTACATTAAACATCTGAGAGTCACGGTACATTAAACATCTGAGAGTCACGGTACATTAAACATCTGAGAGCCACGGTACATTAAACATCTGAGAGCCACGGTACATTAAACATCTGAGAGCCACGGTACATTAAACATCTGAGAGCCACGGTACAGTGAACATCTGAGAGCCACGGTACATTAAACATCTGAGAGCTACGGTACATTAAACATCTCTGAGGGGAGAAGGAGGAGCCACGGTACATTAAACATCTGAGAGCCACGGTACATTAAACATCTGAGAGTCACGGTACATTAAACATCTGAGAGTCACGGTACATTAAACATCTGAGAGTCACGGTACATTAAACATCAGAGAGCCACGGTACAGTGAACATCTGAGAGCCACGGTACAGTGAACATCTGAGAGCCACGGTACAGTGAACATCTGAGAGCCACGGTACAGTGAACATCTGAGAGCCACGGTACAGTGAACATCTGAGAGCCACGGTACAGTGAACATCTGAGAGCTACGGTACATTAAACATCTGAGGGGAGGAGGAGGAGCCACGGTACAGCTAGCAGACCAGGAGTACCTGTAGGACTGGAAACAAATTGTCGCGACAATGAAAGTTAGTTTTTACAACATCTTTACTCTTCCCTTCACATCGGATTTAGAATTTATTTCTCACATGGGCAACCCACTGAAGATTTCCATCTTCTCATGTGTGGTTTGGTCACCAGTGAAGACCTCTGTTGTTAAAGATTTGCTACCTAAACTAAAAAGTTCCAAGCAGCACGGGCTATGGCGAGCCCGTAAAGTGAAGACCTGGCCCGGGACCACCTTCCCTACAGTGTGGTTACCTCACACTCATCTAAAAATATTAAAAAATGCAAATATATCACATGTGAGTGAATGGACTAGGTCTGAAGGGAGCTATCAGGGGGAAAAGCGCCAAGTCATTGCGACTATATAGCACAGGGAAGGGGTCAGGATAAGGATTTGGGATGGGACGAGGGAAGAAAGGAATGGTGCCCAACCAATTAGACGGTCGGGGATTGAACGTCGACCTGCATGAAGCGAGGCCGTCGCTCTATACCGTCCACCCCAAGTGGCTGGGCGGGACTTTATCTGACCGCTGTCAAGCACAGGTTGCTCCTGGGCTTGACAGCGCTCAAGCACACGAGCATCCTGTGCAACATGAGCAACCCGCTGTCAAGCACAGGCCTGCATGAGCAGCAAGAAGAAAGCACTCCATACGCTGACATAAAGCAGGAGCTGTACAGGTCAGGAAACATAAAGCAGGAGCTGTACAGGACAGGAAACATAAAGCAGGAGCTGTACAGGTCAGGAAACATAAAGCAGGAGCTGTACAGGACAGGAAACATAAAGCAGGAGCTGTACAGGACAGGAAACATAAAGCAGGAGCTGTACAGGACAAGAAACATAAAGCAGGAGCTGTACAGGACAGGAAACATAAAGCAGGAGCTGTACAGGTCAGGAAACATAAAGCAGGAGCTGTACAGGAAACATAAAGCAGGAGCTGTACAGGGCAGGAAACATAAAGCAGGAGCTGTACAGGGCAGGAAACATAAAGCAGGAGCTGTACAGGTCAGGAAACATAAAGCAGGAGCTGTACAGGGCAGGAAACATAAAGCAGGAGCTGTACAGGGCAGGAAACATAAAGCAGGAGCTGTACAGGAAACATAAAGCAGGAGCTGTACAGGGCAGGAAACATAAAGCAGGAGCTGTACAGGAAACATAAAGCAGGAGCTGTACAGGACAAGAAACATAAAGCAGGAGCTGTACAGGACAAGAAACATAAAGCAGGAGCTGTACAGGAAACATAAAGCAGGAGCTGTACAGGACAAGAAACATAAAGCAGGAGCTGTACAGGACAAGAAACATAAAGCAGGAGCTGTACAGGACAGGAAACATAAAGCAGGAGCTGTACAGGACAAGAAACATAAAGCAGGAGCTGTACAGGTCAGGAAACATAAAGCAGGAGCTGTACAGGACAGGAAACATAAAGCAGGAGCTGTACAGGACAAGAAACATAAAGCAGGAGCTGTACAGGACAGGAAACATAAAGCAGGAGCTGTACAGGACAAGAAACATAAAGCAGGAGCTGTACAGGACAGGAAACATAAAGCAGGAGCTGTACAGGACAGGAAACATAAAGCAGGAGCTGTACAGGGCAGGAAACATAAAATTATGATATACGAAACTCTAGTTGAAATATAAAGCCAAATAACTCAATAGATAATATAAGATATCAGTTATCAGCCACAACTCGAACATAGAGATCAAGAACAGGAGCTGGATAATAGTATCAGTAAACTTAAATACTTTCCAACATTGATTATGGAACAAAAAATAATAATAGAATATAATTACTGCATTATAGACGTATCTAACAATGACGAATTATTATACAAAACATCATTTAACACAAAGTAATAATTCTCATCATAGCCTTAATATTACAAAGCAATGTTGCTTAAACAAGCTAAACCCTTAAAGAAGTTCAAAAGTTGCAAGAAATTTTGATTGCAAGAAATGAATCTAACTTGGAAAGTCGTAGATTGGTACTCTGTTACTCCAATGGCTAACGAGACCTGATCCTATAAAATTTCGTTCAATAAATCCGTTGTTGTAAGTAATGCATTTGCAAGAGTTAGCAAAGTTGGCATGCAAGAATATCACATCCGATACCTGCCCAATTCTCAGCAAGTATTTATGTTCTACGATCAATTGTGAATGACTTTTTCCACTCTCTCCAATGTAAATGTATTCACAATATTTGCAAAGGATAAAATAAACGAATCCCAATCCCGACCCAATCTTCACCTGCAGGAGGCGTTTATCGTATCCTTTAATAGCACAATAAAGTGGTCATGCACGAAAGTTCAAATGTATTGTAATATTGCATGCTGCAATAAGTAAGTTCTTACATATTGGAGCATACAATACGTAAGAGAGTTTGCCAGTTATACCTGTAAAATCTTAGAACATTCCATGGCTAGCAATGCTGAAACGACAGTTTGGCTCCTACGAAGGACTTCGGTGACTTATGTTGGCCTGATAGACCAATAACCCTTTAAAGAGTTTAATCGGATAAACGAGACTCTATTGTAGTGTTGTATCATAAGTCACTTGAGTCATATCTGAAACGTTTATAAGTGACCAAGGGCACCCCTAGGGTACCCCTAGGGCACAATGTTAAGACTAAAGTCTTCAGATATACCTCAATGCTCTAAACTTCAAAAACCATACAAAATTACCTCCCATAGGGTCGCTCTGGAGCTGTGATAAGCAGTTAGTAAAATAAATGATGTTCATTTTGAGTGCAGAAGGAGAAGATGTACACCTTGTAGGTATTTTGATCTTACTAACGTCTAGGGAAGTGTCAAGGAATCATTCGGTGACTCACAGGTACTTTGAGGTCCCAGGTTCACAGGTTTTCTGAAGTCCCAGGTTCACAGGTTTCTGAGGTACAAGGCTCACAGGTACTCTGAAGTCCCAGGTTCACAGGTTTCTGAGGTACAAGGCTCACAGGTACTCTGAAGTCCCAGGTTCACAGGTTTCTGAGGTACAAGGCTCACAGGTACTCTGAAGTCCCAGGTTCACAGGTTTCTGAGGTACAAGGCTCACAGGTACTCTGAGGTCCCAGGTTCATAGGTACTCTGAGGTCTCAGGCTCAAGAGAATTGCCAATGGAGGTACTCTGAGTGGTCGGCGTGTCTTGGGTTCTATGATAGCCCTTTGGAGTGAGTTATCTAGGGCTCTACAATAGCCCTAAAAAACAACCTGGGATGCTACGATAATCCTTAGGGTGCTCTGTGGTTCAATGATAGCCCCCTCAGGGTGATCTATAGTTAAATAATAACCCTTAGGATGCTTAGGGTTCTGCGATAGACCCCTTAGAGAGTCATACGGCTCAGTTGAGTTCAGAAGACTCAAATGTTGTAAATATTTCAGGGGATGTAGCACCTATCCGCCTGCAGTCCTTGTCGCAGTGATCACAGACCTTTCAGTGACATCTGTGGAAAAGACGTCACAGATAGGGCTATTCCCAGACAGTAGTCATGTAGTAATATTTTCTGCTTTCTTCACTATCTCAATAATATGAAAAACCTCTACTTTTTTACTTGAATAATTTATATATATCTATATGAATGGATTATTATTATGATATTGAAGAATATGTGCTTATGACTTTGTGCATTGTTGGGGGAAATGCATAAAATATGTGTGTTATTGATTGTCAGAATTTAATATGTGTATTCATTGAATATTTTAGTAAATAATGTATCTATTAAAATATGTGAGTATTTATTAAGTAAATATCTGTACAATAGGCGGTGTGTGTGGTTAAGGGGAGTGGAATAACCATATATACAAATTTAAGATTATTTTCACACACACACACACACACACAAACACACACACACACACACACACACACACACACACACACACACACACACACACACACACACACACACACACACACACACACACACAGGATGCCGAGTAGAATTCTACGAATTTATGTTACCAATCATATCCTCCCCCTAGTGTGGGTTCACTACCCTTCCCTCCCCCCAACATCCTCCCCTAATGAGGGTTCACTACCCTTCCCTTCCCCCTAACATCCTCCCCCTAGTGTGGGTTCACTACCCTTCCCTCCCCCCCTCCCCCCAACATCCTCCCCTAATGAGGGTTCACTACCCTTCCCTCCCCCCAACATCCTCCCCTAATGAGGGTTCACTACCCTTCCCTTCCCCAAACATCCTCCCCTAATGGGAGTTCACTACCCTTCCCTTCCCCCCAACATCCTCTCCTAATGGGGGTTCACTACCCTTCCCTCCCCCCCAACATCCTCCCCTAATGAGGGTTCACTACCCTTCCCTCCCCCCAACATCCTCCCCTAATGAGGGTTCACTACCTTTCCCTCCCCCCCAACATCCTCCCCTAATGAGGGTTCACTAATATTACCATCATTGACCTAAATACCTGAATACAGAGTCTGAAAATCAAAGATTGTAAATAAGTCACAGACATTATTAATAAAAATATTACAACTATTACTTTTAATGACTATTATTAAACCAAAATTAGCAGAAAGTGAGGCTGAATAATCAATATGAATTAGAGAGGATGAGAAGAAGTAGGAAATCTTGAAATACTAAAAAATAAAATAAATATTAAGGGATATGGAACTCAGGGAGAGGAAAGGGGAGTAAGGGATAAACATAATGGGTCAACAAGAGGCAAGATGAAGTAATAACAGTTCCATGTACCCAACAAGAGAAACAATAACAGTCCCATCAACCCAAGAAGAGACAATTACACTGATAATGTGAATTTAAACACCTTGCCTCACCCATCTAGGGAAGATAAGTAATTCCTTCTACTGTCAATAGAAAATGGTGCAAGAAAGCCACTCCTATGACTAGGGCACGACTCCTGATCCAGGATTCACCAAGAAGAGATGACCTTACCTCGATCATGGCAGAATAGTGTGGATTTATTACACATTTCACGAGATCAGTGTCCAACAAGGTTCAGCCTTCAAGTCAAGATTATTATAATACGAACACTCTCGTAGTGCTTTGGAGTTCGTAAGTTCTAATACATACAGACTCAACGGCCGTGGAGGAGATAAGAGGGACGGCTGTCGTATGTACGCTTGGTGAATACCGGCTCTTTGAGAGCCAGGGAAGTCTTTGACCTGTAAGGAAGTGCTTAATATGCGCCAAGATCACATGAAGGAAATCATATCATCTGACTTAAGATATTGATGGAGGACTTAGGAACACTGCTGGAAACAAAGGGTGGAACTAAGGAAGCTGAAAGAATGTATAGAGGGAAATTATGAAGATCCATGTTGACCAGACCACACACTAGAAGTTGAAGGGACGACGACGTTTCGGTCCGTCCTGGACCATTCTCAAGTCGATTGTCTTGATCTTGAATGGATCTTATGAAGATCCATTCTACAAAAGGGAATAAAGTAACAAGGTTACTATGGGTCAAACACAAATATTTACTGACTGCTAATTGAAAAAAACTTTGTAAATATGAATAAAAGTACAAGACTGAAGGTAAATTATTTGACTGTAAAAATATATATTTTAAATAATAAAGTACAAGAATGTGAAAACATATGCTAACTGAGGAGGAGGGGGAAGGGAGGGACTGAGTTATCAGGGGAAAACTCCAAGCCATTACGACCATATAGCACTGGAAATGAATCAGGATAAGGATTTGGGATATGACTAGAAGAGGAAAGCAATGGTCCCCATCCCCTTATGGACGGTCGAAGAATTGAACGCCGACCTACATGAAGCGAAACCGTCGCTCTACCGTCCAAGCGAAAGGACTGAGGGAATGATAGAACCAGCCAAAAAAAAAATGCATCATAATATAGAGAGTGAGATAGCTGGATGATTGATGGCTCATCTGGGAGCTGAGCTGAACGCTCACGAAGCTAAGAATATTGATATATTGGCTCGCTTACACCGGTCAAAAACATCAGACCTCTGATAGTGACGTTTTCAATTACTTTGGCCTTAAAATTTGTAAGGGATAATAAACATAGAGTAA